GTTTGGTTGGGGGTGCTTGTAGAGAATGTAAAATCGATTCGATTGGTATATAACAATGATTAGAAATGAACCGATCGAAAATTTTAAACCTTACTCTAGTTAACTTTTGATAACTTTTAATTACAATACCCACGCGGACATGTAAAAATGAAAATTCTAAATTTTTTCCAAGTTAGTAAGCTAATCATTTGTTTGGCTTAGGATGCTTGTAGAGGATGTAAAATCGATTCGATTCGTATATAACAATGATTAGAAATGAACTTATCAAAAATTTTATATAGGGGTGTGCGAATATCGTTCGAATCGAGTATTGATTTTCGATTCGAAATTCGATACTTATACTCATTAATTTCCAAATTAATCGAAATTTGACGAATATTTCGAATAATTCGAAACTCTTCGAATTATTCGTAATTTTTTCGAAATTTTTTTAATGAAAGAAATTAAATGAACAGAGTAAAGATAAACTTTGAAAAAATAAATGGTGTTGGTTGCTTGCCAATTTTTAATGATAATGGATTTTTAAAATTTAATATCTAAGAAACTAAATAGTGAATCTTTTTAAAATTTTGGGATTAAATGAATTATGCATTTATTTATACGTATATTTAATTTCAAAGCTCAAAGTTGGAAATTATTTTTTACATTAAGATTCGCTCGTACTTCCTTAAACTATTATCTAACCGTAAAGCTCCTAACAACTGTTTGGCGTAGGATCCTAGTAGAGAATGTAGAAACGATTTGATTGGTACATAACAATCATTGGAAATAAATTTATAGAAAATTTTAAAACCTAATCTTACTCTTAATAAATATTACTCACAATACTCACGCGGACATGTAAATTGAAAATTTTTTTTCTATTTAAAAATCAATTCAATATCTAATAGATGTATAATATTTTTATCTAGGTTACTCAAATAATATGTGTACGAATTACTATTATTTGAATATATTATAATATGGAGTTAGAAAATTTGCCAATTAGGACGTCAATTTGTAATTTAAACTTTCTAAGAAGTACTTATCGATTAATTGAGTTATTGTCGTTAACGGCCACAATATTATTAATATTTTCTATTAACAGTTGGACATGAGTTTAGATCTATAATTTATTAAGATGTTAAAAGATTTAAACAATTGAAAAAAATATTGACGATTATAACTTGTAGTAATGCTTGACTGTAATTAAAAATAAAATTTTTTTTTAATAAAAAGTAATTTAATTATTAAAGAAAAGATTAAAAAAATTAAAGTTTTGAAAACGATTTTTTTTTTTTTAATTAAAGCTCATATTGATCTTATAAATATTTTTTTTTTTCAAATTATTCATAAAAATGAATGTCAAAATTTATTCCTTATTTGTTGGAAAGCAATGCCCGCATATCCGTGAGTGTGATAGATGTGTGCGCAACTGATGTCAGGATGTAGGTGTAAGTTCCTAAGTCCACTAGTGCATATAGTAATAGTCTAAATAAATATAGAAGTTTGTACCGAGTATTTTAATCGTAACTAAATTCATTTCCCAACAATTACTTACCTTAAAAACCAACAAGATTAATAATTTATTATCATAAAAATAATTTTTTTAAGTAGTAGATGAACTAATTACGTAATATATTACTATAGCTTAACTGCGGTTGTGACTTCAATTACCTAAAATAACTTGTACAGAAGTATAAATGCAATTACAACATTAATGAAACATCGGTGTTTGTCAAAGTAAATTAATGGGGATAATTACTCAATTAAATGCATATCAATTGTCAGCAATCTCAGTAAATCTAGCTTACAGTCTAATCATTACGAGTATTATACATATGTTATCCATGCATATGCATATACATACATATACTTGTCCGTGTTTAGCTGAACCCCAGGCTTACGAAGACTTGGCGACATGTGACATTACGATCTGATTAATTGTTTCACGATTAAATTCTGTTTACCCCGTAGAGATCCTTTCTCTTTCCACTGCACTCACTATATGCAATTACTACAGTTACTGTTACTGTATTATATTGCCGCAGCAACAGCAGCAGCAGCAGTGGCGACACTAAAATCTATTGGTAAATTGTCAACGCTCTCAAGTTTACTTCCTCTCATTGTTATGTGTTCTATTGTATTTGTATCATATTCAATTTAATATTCAATATATATATATTCACATATTTATATATTAAATCGATAAATTAATTTCATTTCACCGTGAATTGATTAGCTTTTCAATTGAATAATCTCTTCAATATCTCTTCCACAGTGCAGTTACGTTCAACATTTATGTATTTTACGAATATAAATACAAATATATAAATTCCATGTTAATGGAGGTGTTGACAATATTGAATATTGAATTGTCAAAAATTTAACATATTGATTGTTCAATAATTATCTCTGCAGATATATTTTATTTACATAAAAAAAATTTCAACAAATAAAAATCGTATAAATGTACATAATAATCAAAAGGGTATGTACATTCACGTCATATCGTATCCTAGTGTAAATATTGACCTTTGTTACGTGCATTATCCATCCTCTGATAATATTTACCCCTTCGAAATTGCATGATTGAATTAAACAAATAACTAACATGAAATTACTTCGGCTCAATCATTTTTAGTTATTATTTTACCTTTGTTTTTTTTTCTTTTTTATCCCATTGCTCGTAGTAATCATCATAATAACACTAATATAAATTTCGAGTTTCAATTTGATACTATTTGACAAACAGTGGTATCAAATATACGAAATGTTAATGGTTTGAGGACACTCATGCCAATTAATTAAAATCATTTCAATTTGCGGAACAAAATTACGTGGAAGAAAGTAGTAGAAATAGTTTGTTGAAAAATTACATGATTGACTCAATTATTGATTCAATTAATGACTTTTTATTAAAAAATTTAAATTATTATGTATTAGCATCTACACAGTAAAAAATTTTCCGCCATTGCGTCAAAAAAACTTGGTGTGTGCACAAATATATGTAGTCGTTATGTATTGTTACACACGATATGTAAATAAAATGACGCACGGAAAAAAGTAAACTGTAAAATTCACTCGGATTCCGGTTAATTTTTATAGTTTCAAACAGTACAGCGGACATCGGGGTGGCAAAAATATAAATATTACAGAACTTAATAACGACTCTTTCATCTTAAAAAATTACAGTATCAAACAGTAAAAATTGCCATTTCAAATATAGTCCATATACTATGAGGAGAAGGGAGTC